TTATCGAAATCTATTAAAAATCTGATTTTAATATCTACCAAACGAGGACTAAATATATGGATCCAAAATATAATTTTTGAGTTTCAAAAACTCTTTCTGACTTCTCAAAAATCATGTCAAAATGACCTTTGATCTTGAAATAATTTTTGACTTTTTAAAGTTCTTATCAAACGTACCCTTAATCACTGAAGACCAATTCGATACTCCATTAAGAATTTATTTTGTAGTTTCTCTAAATTCAAATGTACATGTATATGTACGATAAACTTTTATTACTTAATTAAGTAACTAATACAATTCTTTTTAGAGTGTGTTTGGTAGAGATTAAAATTTGATTAAAATTGAAAAATCAGTCGTTATTATTGACTTTTATTAGACGAGTGAGTTTCAGTAACGACTATATTTTCAATTTTAATTGAATTTTAATCCGAACAGAACACGCCTTTAAGACTTTATGGTTTGGCCATGGGGCTACGTGCATTTGGAAAACCACAAATTTTGAATCATTTGCTTCTCAAGAAATTAGTTGACTATGCCATCCAAAGTCAACATTTGACACCATTTCAAGCAAAGTTTGACAGTTCATCATGGGTTCATCCATTGATTTATATAATATTTCCATAATTTAATTGTAAAAACCGACACACAGTCACACAAAAGCCAAAATGTTTATCGACAATGCCAACCGACCAAATTTATGTACCACACACCACCCATATCGCCTTGTCTACAGATCATGCACACGTGTGCCTCTCTCTCTCTCTCTCTCTGTATTATTCATTTTTCTTCTCAGCAGGGCAAAATGTTCAATAATAGATTATTGGGCATATACAATCTCAATCTCTCAACGTTTCGTTAAGTCGAAAAGGCCCTTGTTCCAAAAAGTGACACCAAATTCGTTGACGGAGTAAGCAATTATATAAAGATCGAGTGTATTTATTTAAATCGTATCTTCAATAATCAACACGTCTATTTTCAAGAACAAGTATCACGTCAATTTTCTTGACACAAGCCATCATGGAAAGCAAAATATCACATCGAAAACTGATTATGAACATGCATCACGTTAAATTTCTTGACACGGGCCTTTCTGGTGAATCAAATATTACATTGAAGACTGATTGTGCAACTATAGTAAAAGACTAAAATGCTCGACTAACTCATTTAGGGAATCTTTATTTAAAAATCTCAATTCACACTTACATGAATAATTATAAATTAATCTTTTGTCTCCTCAAGTTGAGATTGAGACCTAAAAGTAATGGCTGGCATTTGAGAATAAAGTGTAAAAAATCACAAATAAACATATCATTCTGTGCATGGAATTTCTTGAGATTGCAGAAAATTGAGAGAGAGGGGGGGGGGGGGGGGGGGGGGGAGA